TAAGCAATTTAAGTGAAAGGGGGAAGAGAAGTGAACGTAGGAATGTCCACCAGAGCTGTTGCCCATGAATTGAATGTTCATTTCTCTACCATCCAAATTCTCCAAATTCTCTGAAACGCCTTTGGAGACGGCTTATGGTAGAGAAATGAACATTCAATTCATCTCTGGTGGAAATTGCTTATTCTCTTTCTCTTTTTTGTTTCAATGTCTCTGACATAACTCCGTTTCCTTTTCTGCAAGTATTCTGCTCTACGTTCAGGATCAGCATCCCTACGCTGTCTGTAAAGTCGCTGCTTCTCAGCTGCACTCAATTTAGCCATACCTGACCAAAGGAGGATTAACAATGATAAATAAAAGTTAGAATCACAAAATCATAGTGCTATTTTATGCAAAAGAACTAAATTAATAGCTTTGAATTAAGTTTATCTAAAATGGGAGTCACTGGTGTTACTGACAGTCACTGGTGTTACCCATACACTGTACATTTGCATCGCGATATCGATGCTGAAACGATATATCATGCAGCCCTAATTTCTACAGCTCTTTTCTCTCTCTCACACACACACACACACACACACACACACACACACACACATAAAAGCAGTTTTACATAAAATCATGATGTTAATTTTTATGTAAATGTTTTCATGCCTTATAGTCGCGTTTTTTCAGATTAGAGCTGGATGCAATGTTATAAACATATATATATATATATATATATATTCTGGTTACGGTATGGATTTGCTCATCTAAATGGGGACATTTCATAGACCTCTGTGTATTAATTGTACATGCAGACCGAGCCTAAGCCAGAGCTTGACCCTAACAGAACAGCCATGCTCTGATCTGACAGATGAAGATCATCAGACTCCGTCTGCTTCTGAAGTGTCTGCTCTCGGTAATGTGATTCTCCGCAGGAGTCTCTCCATCTGCTCGCGATCATCTCTGACGCTCCTCCGATCGCGTTACAAACGCACACAAAAAGGATGTGAAATATTATCCCACAACACAGATCGCTGCTCATGTTCAGCTCTTGTTCCTACAAATACATCTGGTTGAACATAATTCCAGTAGCGCTTTAACCTGATGTGCGGAACAATGTTTTTATAAAGCTATTCCTCTGTCCAAACACACTGTGTGCACCAGTTTAACTGCGTTTTGTGGTTAAAACGTGTTTTTTTTCTTCTTTTTTGCGGTTTAATAGTCTATTTTAATATTTTTAATGTCCATTTATAATACTATATTTTGTATTAATTTTTTTGCCAATTGGTATTTATGTACGGTAAACTAGTAAACGCTGCTGCACTCACAACTAACGAATACACACTAATATAGCAACTTCTGCTTCTGAGAACCCCAGAAATGTGAAAAGGGTCCATGGGGAAGACACGGTTTTAAAAGTTACATTTATTTTAACTTGAGAGACGCGTTTGATGCGCGAGACGCGTTTACACAGGCCTATAAACACAGCGGATTAGAAGCGGAACGAAACCGAGTTCAGTGTGAACGGCCTGTTTTTGAGCGCAGCCGGTGGCGCAGCTGAAGGGTTTGAGTTTTTGTTCGAGAGTTACCGGCTTCTCCATGTTAATTATAAATCTGTCAGTAACAGTAAGAGAAATAGCACGGTTTGTCTCGGGTCTGGGGTTGAAACATTCTTCAGTGCTCGTCCATGAAACGATCTGTGAGACTGATTTTACTCATTAAAGTAATTATCCAATCTGAACAAACACTGCAAGCTGGTATGATGACAGCTGAACTCGTGTGAATGAAAGGAGGTGTGAAATCTGGCAACCATTGACTATAAAAACAGTGTCGATATATATATGATCTGTCTATAGTTACAAACAAACCTTCAAGCTTTTGAGGGTAGATTTACTGTAAGAAACCTGATGAGCAGTTCAGTCATCATCTGTATCTGTATTTCATCACTTATTTAACAATAAAGTCTTGGCTGCTTGTTTATCATAAGCAGGTTTTCACTGAAATCAAACCCGGAGGGTCACATTAAAATCACACATCTGAGACTGAAGCACCTGCATTAAACTCAGATCACGAGGACCATTCAGGATCAGAAAGAGCTTCATTCATTTGAGTGAGTTATAGGTTACTTCTAGTGAGACTTTATTGTGTTGTTCAGAGGTGACAGAAGCTCCTGGATCAAACCTTCAACCTTTCACTTACCAACACAAAACCACTAACCCACCCGATGACAGAAACAATTCTTTAAAGGAACCGTTGACCCAAAAATGCAAATGTGCTCAACCTCAGGCCACATTTTCATTATTAGCTGAACTATTCCTAAACTACTTCCTGATCTGCTAGACTTGGACCAGAAAGGATTAGGATCATGAATCGCGTCATGTGTGGACACTCGGTCATATATGTTTCGTAAACAGCCTGCAGGAATTGCACAAATTGAGGCGTTTAGCTGTGGTTTTGTCAAAAGTATGAGATGAAGCCAGAAACAAATGATTTTCTAGGTTCATCAGAGGCACATCGGAGAAAACGTTGAACACTCTCCAATAATTCTCATTAGATGATAATAGAAGAGATTATGAATACATCTGCAGGTCTTTCTCTCAATTTACCCATTGATAACTGAGATGTGAGAATGTGGACTCACTGATTGGTGTACATTGAAGTGGTTGTGATGAGATACCTTACTGTAAACCGACTGATTGGTTTAACAAACAGCAGACGAGAAACAATTGCTTTGAGTGATAAACGCCATCATCGCACAGGCAACAACTTCAAAGCTGCCCAGAATGATTCATGCATGTAACTTACTTTACAAATGACTCTAACGGGCTCTGAAAGCTCTCTGATTATGAAGCATTAACATCTTTACTGTAAATCACATCCAACACTGTTTGTAAACATGGCTTCTTTCCTGCTTTACTGTCAGCTCTTTCTGATGTGTGCACATACCTATAAATCATCATCAGAATATCTCAGACCCTAAATAACTCTGAAGCGATTAAAAAAACATTACAGTTAAGGAATTTTAGTGTGGTTTACATCACTTCATTATCATTACATACAGCATAAATCCTTCAAATAATGTATGAGAGGTTGTGCGAGAGGGTGCTTATTAGACAAAACTGTCACCACATAATAAAAATATTAATAACACACACACAAAAAATAATAATGAATAGTGCCATTGGTCTGTACAGGCATGACATGCACGTGTCAAAGCTGTTATATTGTTGAATGGAATGATGCATTGTATAATGTGCAGCGAAACGTTTATTTTCTTTCTCATCGTTTTTGATGATAAACAGTGTTTTTATGTAAGCAGAACTTGGAGGGATTTCCAGAGGAACAAGAGACATTCAGAATCGTGTCGCTGGTATTTAATCCAGCTGGAAATTCACTGAAGCCTGAGATAAAAGTGTAATATTTTTCTACTCGGGGGTCAGTGAGTTCACAGCCATTTTCTGCTGCTCTGATGGAGGTTTGGTTTCTTTGGCTTGTTTAGCTGGGGATGCTTGACTGATTGCACAGACACTACTGAAGAGAGCTGAACTGATGAAGACATCACTGAATCATCAATCAACTGACTTTAGCTGGGAAATGACTCTTTGTTTTTGTCCTCTTGCAATTTTGAGAAACTATTTTCCTGTTTAATACTGTAAAGCCGCTTTGACACAATCTGTATTGTATAACGCGCTACAGTATATAAATATAAAGCTGACTTGACATCAAAGCTTCTGCTTCAGAATGACAGAAACAGATGAAATGCCTCTATTGTAGAGAGCTGACCGGCAACATCCATGCAACTATTGCTGAGCGTGATATTACTGCTGCCACAAGTTCTTAAACTCTTCAGTGTCTGTCCATGAAGAGCCACTGAGCAGGAGCTGGAGGTCGCGTGCTGCTGGTTAAGCTGTGTTTATGGGCAGTGATGACGTGCATTCATATCGCTCCAAACACAACAGGAAACTGTCAATCAACAGCGGGAATAAAGCGCACATAAAAGCACTCTAATGACACAAAACACATGCTTACACGCTCATCAGACGTGCAGCGGCTCCCGTTAGCTCGTGCTGATCTCTCAGCTGCTCCCGGTGACGGATGACGCGCGCGACAAACGTTTTTATTTGATTCGGAACTATTTAAGGTTCAAAGGTGAGCACGAAAACAAAGTGAAACACGTCCCTTAACGTTATTCCGAGTATAACCGGTAGATGGGAGCAAAGACCGTCACCTGACAATCTACAGACACAATACATAATCAATACACATCGAGATTTACAAGAATACAGGTTAAATATCAGCTGTTGTAAAGGTCATTATCTTGTTTAATTTATAAGAGTCGTTACAGGGTTCCTGCAGGCTTTATGAAATATGAAGGTAAATTTAAGACCTGCTTGAAGAAAATATAAGGAATAAATTCAAGGAAACACGTTTTCTTGCTTTCCAGTTCAAATGGCTAGTGTCATAATGTCATGCAATAGAAGATAAGAAGTCCTGTTTTATGTGAAATTGATCAAAATGAAGTAAGTTTATGATAAAAACAAGAACAAATATCTGTCAGTGAAAACAAGTGTAAAACAAGACATTTTACATTTGCAGTAAATTGATTTAAGAATGTTCAGATATTTGTCCTGTAAAACAAAAATACAGAGAAAGATGTTTATTTTTTTGCAGTGCATGCAACATTTCATTCCATGACTTTATTGAATTTAAGAGTTTTTAAGGCCCACAGAAACCCCGTATTTAAAAAAAAAAAAGATACCATACTGCCAAGACAGCATCAATTCAGAAGGAGTATTAACAGTCTACATTGTTCATGAAGTTGAAAACAATGGTTTATTTAGTGCGATGTTTATTTTTTTGCAGTGCATGCAACATTTCATTCCATGACTTTATTGAATTTAAGAGTTTTTAAGGCCCACAGAAACCCCGTATTTAAAAAAAAAAAAAGATACCATACTGCCAAAACAGCATCAATTCAGAAGGAGTATTAACAGTCTACATTGCTCATGAAGTTGAAAACAATGGTTTATTTAGTGCTACATTAATCATTTGTTCGCATGTAAATATGTGCATGAAAAGTAACGTTTACGAAATGCTCAGGTGATGAAAACATGTCGATAACGGCCAGCTCTTCTGCAGCGCTTGAGTCGTAACACGCCGTGCTGAACCGTTCATCCGTTCACCACCGTTAAACTAGGTACATCACAATATCACAATCACTGAACTCACGCACTGATGGTAACTAGAGATGAGTGAAAACCATTTATTTCACCGGCCTTCTGAATGAGAGAGAGCCGTGAGTGTTGTCCGCTTGATATATGCATGTATTCCAACAATCCAGCTGTTTTTCATCTTCTCTTTTTCACACGAGAGACTGAAGCACCAAACCTCTCGTCTGGGTTTCTGTCGTCCAGACGCACGGATCCGCTTCATATGGACATGTAATGCTTGCTGTAGTTGCTCAGCTTGATTTTCTCCGGCAGGATGATGTTGAGCGAATGCTGCTCTCTCTGCTGATCTCTCTGCTGTCGCACCAGCTGGCTGTACTTGGCGTTCGCCATCCACGTCTCACAGCGGGTAAAGAAGACAATGCCCGTCGTGACCAGGATCACCAGACAGGTGAGGAGACCCAGAACGGAGAAGCAGATGATCTGGCTGCGGGTGACCAGCGGACCGGACGGCTGGAGTGGCTCACGCTCGGGCGGACGCAGCAGCTTGTGGAAAGCGTGAGCTGCTGCGGCGTAGTGACCCGGACCTCCTGCTTTGGGCTTGAGCTTGCTGATATGGAGTTCACAGGACGGGCCGGTGAATCTGTGCGGGCAGACGCAGCGGATCCGGCCGTGTGTGTCGTTGAAGCAGGTGCCTCCGTTCACGCAGCGATCGCTGGAACACACAGAGAGACTGACGTTGCAAACCGGCCCGGAGAAGTGTGCCGGACAGACGCAGGTGTAAGTCGGGTCACGACGGACGCATCTGCCGCCGTTCACACACGGATTGGGCTCGCAGACGTCAAGCTCCATCTCACAGACAGCGCCAGTGAATCCAGGTGGACAGAGGCAGGAGCAACGGCTGTCAAAGCCACTCGTGTTCACGCAGGTTCCTCCGTTCTGACAGCGAGAGCTGCGGATGAGAGGAAACACATCAGAGTTTCACCAACACGCAAGCTTTCTGTCGCTTTATGCAAACGCTTAACAGCTGCACGTCTCCATCCAGTTTCCTTATTTTAGCTTCATTTAGACAGTCAGACCACAATTAATATATGTGACCCTGGAGCACAAAACCAGTCATAAGGGTCAATTTTTCGAAATTGAGATTTATGCCTCCCCTGAAAGCTGAATAAATAATCTTTCCATTGATGTATGGTTTGTTAGGATAGGACAATATTTGGCCGAGATACAACTATTTGAAAATCTGGAATCTGAGGGTGCAAAAAAATCTGAATATTGAGAAAATCATCTTTAAAGTTGTTCAAATTAAGTTCTTAGCAATGCATATTACTAATCACAAATTAAGTTTTGATATATTTACGGTAGGACATTTACAAAATATCTTCATGGAACATGATCTTTACTTAATATCCTAATGATTTTTGGCATAAAAGAGAAATGTATAATTTTGACCCATACAATGTATTGTTGGCTATTGCTACAAATATACCCCAGCGACTTAACACTGCTTTTGTGCTCCAGCGTCACACATGTCTTTGCATTATATATCAAAATATCAAAACAAGTGACACTTTTTAATTAAAATATTTCACAAAATGTAGTTTGTTACGTTTGAAAATGAAGCAATAAACATATTGTTCATAAAATCTTGGCCACTTTTTAAAAAAAATTCAGTTCAAGAACAAAATTTTAACTGAAATGATCTGAATAATGACTCTGTTGTATTCTGTAGCTTTACAGCTGAATTAGAGTTTGTCTCATATTTCATGAAGTTTGCATCACTGATTCTGGTATTTTCCTGTTTATTACTATGAAGCTGCTTTGAAACAATCTGTATTGTATAAAATGTTATAGAAATAAAGGTGACTTGACCTTCTGGTTGGATGCCAAACTTTATGTAACATGTTAATTTGTTCATGTGAGGAGAACTGACGTCATACACCCTTTAAAAATCAGTTCAAGATAAAATGAAGATAGTTCAACTTCAGCATCATTTGAGCACAAATACAACTTGGTTTGATATTTTGTATCCAATGCAATGAAGTTCAGACATGTTTAAGTGTAAAGTAAAGATACTGTTTGTCTCATCTAATCAGAGGTGTACATGCTTGATCAATTGATCTAGCATTAGTGAGCATTTGATTTCTTTCTAAAGGTCAAATAAGGATGATCAATGCGGTTAGTAATTAATGGCAGCGCTGGATGATCTCACGTCAACAGCAGCTTTATGTGAGCGATATTTTCTAGTTTTTCAATCCACAAACATTTAACAGAGGAAATGGTCTGTCATCCCGTCTCTGTTTTAACTAGAATCAGTGTTACCCGTTCACCGAACACGGTCCTTTCTTCAGCTGGCAGCTATCCCCTGTGAATCCAAGAGGACAAAGGCAGACATATCCTCCTCCTCCTCCTCCTCCTCCGGTCTCCACACAGGTAGAGTTTCCCGAGCAGGGCTTTGATGAACACTGGTGAACGTCTGAGAGAAAACAACAGATTCACATTGTTATCGTCACAGCACACCTCCACCGTTCACATGACCATTCTATTTCTAAGAATTCTGGCCCTGCAAGTTCATCTCTGCTGATACTCCTATATAAAGTCCTGTAGGACACTGGACCTCGATCGCAGCGAGCGCCCGTCCAGCTGCGCTCACAGATGCACTGCCCGGGTTCTTCACACGCTCCGTGAACACAGTCAGGTGAAGGAACGCACTGATCGCACGCTGCGCCTCGCCAACCTGCTCTGCACCTGTAATTCACACCACAACACCTGCTTTACAACACACATCCATACTAATGTGTCACTGACCTTTAACTGCTTCTAAAGAACATCCATAAAACATATGTGAGTTTCTGGAGACTTCTACTGATAGATTAAAATCTCTCACACACTGACAGCATTCAATTATTCATTTGTTTCTAAAATGGTTAATGACATCTAACACACACACACACACACACACACACACGTTGGTATTGGTGGTGTACAGGGACTCTCCATAGGCGTAATGGTTTTTATACTGTACAAACTGTATTTTCTATCGCCCTACACCAACCCTACCCCTAAGCCTACCCCTTACAGGAAACTTTCTGCATTTTTAGATTTTCAAAAAAACACTATTTAGTATATTTTTTAAAGCCTTTTGAATTACGTGGACACAGGTAGTGTCCCCATAAACCACCTTCATATTGTAATACCTGTATCATACCCATGTCATTATACAAATTTGTGTCTCCTCATAAACAACCCAAACCAGTGCACACACTCATACACACATATAAACACACACACACACACACACACACACACACCTGAGTTGACACAGACCTACGCTGTGTCCTCACAGGAAACTTTCTGCATTTTTAGATTTTCAAAAAAACACTATTTAGTATATTTTTTAAAGCCTTTTGAATTACGTGGACACAGGTAGTGTCCCCATAAACCACCTTCATATTGTAATACCTGTATCATACCCATGTCATTATACAAATTTGTGTCTCCTCATAAACAACCCAAACCAGTGCACACACTCATACACTCATACACATATATAAACACACACACACACGCACACACACACACACCTGCATTCTCCAGACTGCTCACAGAAGCCGTGGTGTTGATGACATCCAGCTCCACATTCTGGACCTAAACACACACACACACACACTGATGAATAAACAATCATGTGTCCAGAGTCTGTCATATATCATATCTTACACACTCCAACACATGAAGTTGACTGACAGCAGTAGAAACGCAACGGATACTGATGATCCGCGTCACTAAATCAGTTAAATAAGAGATATATAGTGTAAATATTAATATCGATATTTCACCTTGAGCAGAAACAGGCGCGCAGAAGAGCAGCAGAAATGAGAATCCGAGCCGGAGAAATACATTCATCCTCCCGCAGCTCGATCCTCGATCCTCCGCTGATAATCGCGTTCACATCATCCCACAAACTTGCTGCTGAGCGCGCGAGCAGGACATCGCTAAACTAGTCCTCCAGACTAGTACTCAGAGTGAAAACAAACTCATCTGAGAAAGTCCGCGACGGTCAAAGCGAGTTTGAGCGGTAAATCCGACTGAACCTCCGCGAGCTGCTGCTGCTTCAGTCTGACACACGGAGCTAAACTCCACCCATCACCTAACTACACACATAAACATCACTGAACTAAACTCCACCCATCACCTAACTACACACACAAACAACTTTGATGGAGTCTGCTGTAAACGTGCTGTAGATTTACAGCCGTGGGCTTAATAACCAGCTGCTGTGGGACGTTATTCATTAGTTATTCCACACCTTTACTGAAAAGGCTGTACATCTGTGTTCTCGTCTCCGGAGTGATTCTGAAAAAACATCTGTATTAAAAGATCAAATGCATCACGCGGGATAATTAGGTTTGTCCCCAAATGCCACTTAATCTTAGTTTGATGAGTCTCATTGGTTCACTTTAATTTCATTTAATTAGCCTACTATAATGAATATTATCTACATGTTTATCTTCAACAGGTGTGCTGAAAAACGCATGGCCATCAAGCCAAACATCACACATGGCCTCCAATAAATGTCCCGTTTTCCCGTTTCTCTCAGACTTGAAAATATAAACCTTTCCAGAAACACTTAAAGGTAAAAACGAGCTCTTGGGTATCAATGGCAGTCCTGTTAATCGAGTTTGATTTATTAATGAGCTTACATTTCCATTGTTCATTCCATTGTTCCATCCACCCATCACCTAACTACACACATAAACATCACAGAACTAAACTCCACCCATCACCTAACTACACACACAAACATCACTGAACTAAACACCACCCATCACCTAACTACACACATAAACATCACTGAACTAAACTCCACCCATCACCTAACTACACACACAAACATCACTGAACTCTACCCATCATCACCTTCATCTAACAAGGATCGCTCATCACTAAACTACAGCTATTTTAAACGAGCATCAAGACTAGTGGAGTTAGACTTTCTGAACTGTCTGAACTCTAAACATGGGCTCATATCATAATCTTTGTCAGTCATGATTTAATGTGTCATGAGCATGTTTTACCTGCTCTCTGATCCTGACAATTAAAGAGGCTGTTTTCCTGCTGCTGTGCCTTTAAGCGGCTACAGCAGCTGTAAGTAGAACATGACTGTCTGACCTCTACACGTCTGAAATTGAGCAACAGCCCAGTATTCATACTATAGGTGTGGAAAAACTAGTGTGCACAGCCTTAGTTTTCATGCTCTTCTTGATAGTGGAGAGAATTTTTGGTTCTGAAAGATTTCTCATGATATGTTTTGATGAATGGTTTGATCTCTAGCTCGACACCAGGGAATTTCAGCTGTACCTTTATACCCAAAGGCCCAATTAAATGTTATTTGGGCCTCTAAATCGTCGACTCTCACTGAAGGAATCGCTGTCCTAGCAGGGAAATGATTTCATACTTAATTTCATAAGCCGCTCTCATTCATCATGCAAGACGTGTGTGTGTGTGTGTGTGTGTGTGTGTTTCCAGCAGGATTGTAATGAAGCATCAGGATTCAGCAGCAAAAGTGACAGAACGAGGGCAAAACGCTGCTGCGGCTCCATTCACAGCTTCCATCCGTATCGCGTTGCCATAGGAACGATGCACAAAGGAGGATGAGGATGATGAAGATGTGCATCCGCCTCAATGTGTGTGATATGATGGCCAGAGATTGAGGATGATGCATTGTGTCACTCAGCGTTTAATTGAACATCAAGTCAAGTTACATTGATTTCTATAGCTCATTCCCCAACGCATGCACCATTTCAAAGCAGCTTTATAGAAAATCATGATGTCATCTTAATATCTTCATGTCATATAGTCACATGTATCAGATTCGAGCTGGACGATAACAGAGTTACATTTTGCGATATAAATCTTAATATCTTCATGCCATATAGTCACATGTATCAGATTCGAGCTGGACGATAACAGAGTTACATTTTGCGATATAATAAGTTACATTTTGTCTCATCTTCAGTTCTGATGCACAAGTTTAATCTGTATTTCTCACATTCCCTGTGAAACTCTTAGATATGAGTTCATTTTTACTGTAAGCACCAAATGATGATAAAAAAGATCTTCACAATCACTGATTCATCACGTTTGTTTTCAAACACACCCACATGCACTGTTTTTCCATATGAATAGAAATTGGAATAATATGACTATTACTGGTATATTAGAGAGTTAAATGGACATCGGGACTGTGAGCCAAACAGAAGAAAGGAGAATGAAACACAAGTGAACAACACTAATAAGAGAACTCTTACAAGTGCATTGCAAAAAAAAAAAAAAAAAGATTTTCTTACACAGTATTTGTGTGTTGTTCTCCAGTACAAATATTTAAACCTTCTTAAATAAAAATACAATTACTGGAGATTCACCAGGACAGGAGATATTAAAAATATGGTAACACTTTACATTAAGTTTCCATTAGTTAATGCATTAACTAACATGAACAAACAATGAACAGTACATTTATTACAGTATTTATTAATCTTTGTTAATGTTAGTTAATGAAAATATAGTCGTTCATTGATAATTCACAATGCATTAACTAATAAAACAAGCACAACTTTTGATTTTAATAATGCATTACAGGTATTGTTCATTCTTAGTTCATGTTAACTAAAGTAGTTAACGAATGAACCTTATTGTAAAGTGTTACCAAAATGATCAATATTAATGTTTTCTGATTGAATTAAGTTTATTTTCTGAGCTCTTGTTTTAATCATAAACTCACACCTTTTTGATCAGTTTTCAGAAATTAAGACTTAATATCTTATGTCATGTTGCTTCTCAGGTTAATGTATTGTACTGCAAAACAAGACAAAAATCCTGAGTAGAAAAGAGACGAGGACGATCCCACATGAGAAGCAGACTTTTGAGAAAATGTTCTTCTGAGTTTAGTCCCACAGTGCTTCAGAGTCTGTCGTGACACTTACAGCTTTTAATACCGAGCAGTGAGATTCTGTCGGGTGGTTGTTCTCATTAACACACACATCATTAGTGTTAAAGCAGCGATGAATGAAAGCATACCCAGTGTGTGCTCATGTTTTTACGGTCAGCTGCTCTGTGAACGACAGACGCAGTATTTCATCAGACTGGATACCGTGAAGTCTGACGCCCGTCTGATGATTATTATGAGTCTTAATTGGCAGATAATACTTGAATATTAACTGGATGTTGCACTGTACTCGCACAACTGAATCTGTCTTTGTTTGACATCATTCATTAGAAAATTAGATTTCTAATCTGACAGATTCACACTTTATTCACAGGAGCATTAATCACGACTGATGAATCCTGCTGCCTGATTATGAGCACAATACGATAATTATTAGATGGCTTTTAATAAGAGTAAAGCTGAATCTTATCAGTCATAAGAGCGTCTGATCTGTACAGAGACACATGAGCTCCGGTTTATGAAGAAACAACGAGAAAAAAGCCCAACCAAAGCCACTTTAAAATGACAAACATGCTCGATATCAGCTGGATTTCCAGTCTGTGATGATTATTAATTCAAAGCATCAAAGAGTTTATTTCCTCATTTCATAAAGCGCTCATTATGCTGATCGACATTCAATCGTCCTGTTCTGTTCTGTTCTGTTGTGTGCGTGTGTGTGTGCGTGTGTGTGCGTGAGTGCGTGTGTGTGTGTGTGTGTGTGTGTGAGTGTGTGTGCGTGTGTGTGCGTGCGTGTGTGTGTGTGTGTGAGTGTGTGAGTGTGTGTGTGAGTGTGTGTGTGTGTGAGTGTGTGTGCGTGTGTGTGCGTGCGTGTGTGTGTGTGTGTGAGTGTGTGAGTGTGTGTGTGAGTGTGTGTGTGTGTGAGTGTGTGTGCGTGTGTGTGCGTGCGTGTGTGTGTGTGTGTGAGTGTGTGAGTGTGTGTGTGAGTGTGTGTGTGTGTGAGTGTGTGTGCGTGTGTGTGCGTGCGTGTGTGTGTGTGTGTGAGTGTGTGAGTGTGTGTGTGAGTGTGTGTGTGTGTGAGTGTGTGTGCGTGTGTGTGCGTGCGTGTGTGTGTGTGTGTGAGTGTGTGAGTGTGTGTGTGAGTGTGTGTGTGTGTGAGTGTGTGTGCGTGTGTGTGCGTGCGTGTGTGTGTGTGTGTGAGTGTGTGAGTGTGTGTGTGAGTGTGTGTGTGTGTGAGTGTGTGTGCGTGTGTGTGCGTGCGTGTGTGTGTGTGTGTGAGTGTGTGAGTGTGTGTGTGAGTGTGTGTGTGTGTGAGTGTGTGTGCGTGTGTGTGCGTGCGTGTGTGTGTGTGTGTGAGTGTGTGAGTGTGTGTGTGAGTGTGTGTGTGTGTGAGTGTGTGTGCGTGTGTGTGCGTGCGTGTGTGTGTGTGTGTGTGTGTGTGCGTGTGTGTGTGTGTGTGTGTGTGAGAATGTGGGTTTAATAGAATAAGATGTACATCCATATGATCTGTGTGGGTTTTAATAAGTACAGTAACTGATCTCATCACAGTGTTTGTCATTCACACTTCAAACAGGACCACAGCTTAACTATCAGAAACTACAGCAGCTGAAAACTCTTCATCTTTTTAATTCTATACACCTGCAGAATTCATTCATATCTATCAGAAGATCTGTATTCTCAGAGATATGCGGCCGATGTTCACATGAATCTGTTGTTGCTGTATTCTGTTCATCAGTGCGTCTCTTTTGTGTGTCGTACCTCACATAAAAATAATTGTGTCCTGGTGGATACTGAGCCAGGCTTTATACATATGCAGGCAGCGGTTGTCATGGCAACAGACCACATTCTCCTGCTCTATTTCCAGACACACACACACACACACACACACACACACACACTGATGTATATCAGAGAGAATTAGATCTCACTATCTCATGAAGAACATGATCTAACAGCAGGTGCGTCTGAACACATCCATACACAGCCTGAAGTCTCATGACACCTGTGAGCTTCACCACGCGTTCAGACGCATTACACTGGTTCACAGGGTTTTACTGTAGTAATGTAGTAACATCACACTGCTGGAGATATGCTGATCTCTGCGACATTATGAATGTGCGTATGTGAAGATTGAGAGTATAGTTTGCACTGTCAAATATATTAAAAAAAAAAAGGAAGACATTAGTTGGTA